GTCTCCTCTTACGTTCTTTGATCCGGCCTCCTCTTCGTTAGCCCTTCTTCTTCTCTCTCTAATTCTCTTATTTTTCTAACGTGGAAAAACTCCTAACCCTAAAGTCTTATGTGTCTATTTATACACATCCAAAAACCTAAATCCTTTTCCCATTAGGATTATCATATAAAATAAATAATATTTATCTTTTAAATAATATATATACATACATATATTTTAATATAAATATATATATATATTACCTTCCATATATAACCATTAGTTAAATAAATTATATATACCTATATATATCAATATATAATTATATTGACATATATACCCCTCCACATGATTTAATAATGAATTAATATACATATGTAATTATATAGGTATAATTATGCAAAGATAATTATTAAATATCCTCACAACCACGGGCCTTTACCAATTAACCCAACAAGGCTTCCTTCAAGCCCAATACCACATCCGTTGGTCCAACTTCCTTTAATCCCAATCCAAATAACTTAAATACCTAAAATAATAAAATTAAATTTAATAGCTACCAATAATTAACAATAAAGTTACACCAACATAAAATCACGCAAATCAAATAAACAATTCACTAACTAGCATTCCACAAATCAAACACCATATAAATTTAACAAATAAAATTACAAAATATAATTTAATTAAAACAATACAATTTACCTACGCACTTAATTAAATAAAACAAATCACAACTATCAAGCATCTAATTAAATAAAACAAATCATTTAAAAATAATAATAATAATAATATAATATAAATTAATTTAATAAATGAATCCTTTTTAAAATATCGGGGTATTACACATGAACTGATAAATTCAGAGATTTGATTTGATTTCTTTATAAATTGTTACATGTTTGAAATGATGTATTTTCGTATCTGAGGATTGATGGAACTTAAAAACATGCCTTAGAATCCTTAAATAATAAAGATTGGGTTCACAGTAGAATTCTGGGTTGAATCACGTAAACAGTGTTTGATTCGTTGATACAGTGCTTGAGCCTTGGAGGCAAAGCTCGAGCCACGGGTGAAAAGCTCGATCCTGAAAAGAAAAGTTTGTGCCAGAAAAGCTCGAGCCATAGGTGTAAAAGCTCGAGCCTGAAACAGGAAGCTCGAGTAATTAGGACAAAAGCTTGAGCCTTACCTGGGAAAGTTTCGTAAACAGCGTTACATTAATTTTTAATTGCTTTTGAGGGTTCTAAACATCAAATAAGGACTAAGTATGAGTTTAAATAAATTCTAAACGAACTTAAATATAACAATGCATGCTATTTGAATTCTTTGAGGGATGGATGGATTTAGTCTTTGTTTTGTTCTAAAAATTAAGATTAAATGTGTAGCATGAATTGTATTTGGAGAATGCTTACTTGACTGTATAGTAAAATATCAGCATGTTTAAGATTCAGTTTGTATAGGATATGTGATTTAGGAAGTTTAAATAAATTATAAGTCATTCCTATTTTGAGATAGCATGATATTATATTATTATGTTTAAGTCTGGATTATTTGATGTACTTCTTCAATTGTTACATCAACTATTGGATTGTGTGGATGTAGTGCACCAGTATGGGATGGTGACACTTATCAGTTAAGTCTTACCTATTTTATAAGAGAATGGATTAACTAAAATGTTAAGTCCAACTTATATTCGTGTCAGGTTAATTGAATAAGTTGGATGATACATAGTGAATTACTTTAAATTGGAAATGTATATATATAGACATATGCCATGATATGAGCTTGAGCCTCAGGATCAGTGGATAGGGTGTGTATATTGCTAGGGATGTATAGCTAGATATAGTGTGGTTGTGTGCCCTGGTAAGTCTAGGTATGCATGCCCACTATATGTGCGTTTTGCATGTTGCCTACTATTTAGTTGAGTTAACCATAAAGTCTAGTGAGGTTCCTTTAGTGTGTATATGTTTTTATAGAATATATAGTTATTGCATGGGTTAGCTATGGTTATATAGTTTCTCCGGTCTCTGTTTGGGTTGTCGTAGAAAGAACTTGTTCGTGGGCCTGACCCATTATTTTTTTTTTTCAGGTGTTCGTCAGTTTCAGACATAGAGCTTGTTCGTGTTGAGCAGAGACTGTCCACATCACTCTTCCAATTCTACGTAGGGTTCTCTTTATATTTTAGTTTTGGGATTATTTCTTTTCAGTTGTTTCAGTTGGGTTATCATAAGGGGTCCACTAGATGGATTCCCGAGTTGTAATGATATTAAAGGTTTTAGATATTTCATTTGGAGGATTAACTATTTCTTAATTTAATGATTTATTATTGGGTTAAGTGCATAAAACCCCCTCGCTATATAAAAAATGTGCAAGAAACACCCTCACTAAAAATTAAGTGCATATAAATCCTTGTATTATCAACCTTTTGAGCAAATTACTTCCTAATCATCAATTTTGACCAATTTTTTAATAAAAACCCTAAAACGCCCTTGCTAATGTAAGAAAATAAAAAAGGAAAGAAAATCTCTCTTTTCCTTTCTCTCTCTAAATTGTCTCTAAGCTCTCTTTCTCTCTCTAGTCTCTACAACATAGAAGATCACCATATATTTTCTTTGCGTCTATTTTGACTTCAGTAACAACTAATTAACTTTGGTATAAAAATCACTACTTTAATAAATAAATAAAACTATATATTATTGCTGAAAAATTACTATTTTGATAAAAAAAAAAAAAAAAAAAATTATACATAAAACTAACACCACAAAATATTTATTTGGTGAAGACATAGAGAGGACGAATAATAAACGTGTTTATTTTGTGAAACTTGAAATATAGAGATTATTGATATTATCTGAAGATGAGTATTTTCAATACGTTTGTTTTGGTCGATGATTATGGAGCCTGAAATGCACAAGTTCAATTGTCCCTCTTGGTTGTTCATCAGTGGCTGTGATTGGATGCTATCTTGATTGAACCAAAATATCATTTTGATTCTTCATAGGCTTATGGCAACATTTACATTCCAAAAATAAATAAAAAATTTAAATTATATGAACATTGTTATGTATATCCTTGCAACCACCTACTCTTAAGATTTTGCTTCTAAAACTAGAGTTTTTATAGGTTGATTGTATCTCTTTTAAAGATTTTGCTTCTCATACATATATATATATATATATATATATATATGACAAGATCAAATAAATATATGGAAGTTGCTGAAAAAGAAAAGATAGAGAAAAACAAATAAGGAAGTCGCTAGAAAGAGAATCCTACAGAAAGTGAAAACAAAGAGAGAAATAGAGGGGAGAGAGACCTTCCAAAAAAAGAAAAAATAAATTAGAGGAGAGAGGGGATACTTTTATTTTTTATTATTATATTATATTATATTTATTTATTTTATTATATGGGTATTTTAGACATTTCAATAACTAAATTAACCTAATGTCCTTATTTGCACAAATTGTAAAATGCAGGGGGGTTTTATGAACAACAGGAGGTGAATTGCACATTTTGTATATTATGAAGGGATTTTTTGCACTTAACCCTTTATTATTTAGTTTTATTTATACTATTTTATTTATTCTTAGTTGCTTCTTTTGTAATTAAATGCTTGTTTATATACTTAATTGTTTGGTATCCCTCGGATCTGTGCTCAGACTTGATCTCCGTGGTTCTAGAATCGAGGGGTATCACAGTGTGTGCATGTAATACATGTATATGTGTATATATGGGAATAACCATTATTGGTCCATAAGTTTTTATATTTTTTTTACCTTCTTTACTATTATTATTATTTTTTTACCTTCTTTACTTTCTTAACTATGCTTTTTTCCTTTCTATTTGTTTTTTCCGGAGGTCCTCTAAAATAAAATAATTTATTTCACACTAATAATTTTATTTTTGGCACTCGAAAGGGATATTTATTTAACAAAGTTTACTTTTTTCAGTTTTGTCAAAAGAGGTAACTTTTTTTCTTTTATGGGTCCCGTCAAAAGAAATAATTTATTCCATAAAAATAACTTTTTTTTTTTGGGTCTTATCATAAAAGATAATTTTTTCAATAGAGATAATTTTTTTTTTTAATCCTCTTCTTTTCATACTTTTTTTTGGATTTTGATAAAAGAGATAATTTCTTCAATAAATATATATTTTTGGGTGGGTTTTTTCATGTCAAAAGAGATAATTTTTTTAATGGTTATTTTTATTTTTATTTTTTTGGTCCAGTCAAAAGAAGCAATTTATTCAACATAATTATTTTTTTGGTGCTGTAAAAAAAAATATTCAAGTTTTTTTTTTTTTTTGGTCTTGTCAAAAGAGACCTAAAATATTAATGATCAGAGATAAAGAGAGAAAATTTAAAAGGGTAATTGTGTTATTTAAAAAGTAATAATTATTTACTTGTAAAGTTAGAATTAAAATTGTCATTTGATTTATGATTACAGTGCAATTGTTGAAAAATGAAGTGTGGATGTTGTCTCCCTATAATTATATATTTATATATGTATATAAAATATATACACACACAAAAAAAAAAAAAAAAAAACCAAAAAATTATGAAAAGTGGGTGAGATCTAAAATTTGAATGTATCATTAGATTTTTTTTCTGTCAAAGTGAAATTGAGAATAACCATAATTTAATCGAAGCAAAATAGATCAAAGTAGTAAACCAAAGTAGATAAAGATTTGATGAAGGAACTTTTTTTTGTTTTGGGAGGTTTGGTGAAGCAGCTTTCCACCTGTGTATACAACTAAAACGCAGGAGAATCTATATAAAAAAATGTGTAAGTTCTAGTAATGAATGAAAAGAGTATACAATGTATTTTAATTTTAAAAGTTCACCTTTTTTATTTATTTATTTATAAAGGACTCAATTGTGTTAAAAAAGTTGGTGGAGGTAATTTTGGCTTGTCTCTTGTCTCTTTCCATGGTGGGGCAAATGAAAAACACGGTTCCAACCTTTATTGACTTGTCTTTCCGCGTTTTGAACCTTTTGTCAACCCCTTCCTTCGTCTAAGTTGAGAATAATAATATTATCCGAAAAAAGTTGAGAATAATAATCTTTTTGAACCCTTCAAAAAAAAGGTTGAATGTAGTAATTATATATATTGATGTGCTTTTATCAGGTAATTCATCGATGACAATGGAAGATATGCCAGAGCCTCTCGTCAATCCTAATTTTGATGTGCTCTTATCAGGTAGTTCACCGGCCACAATGGAAGAGATGCGAGAGCCTCCTGTCAATCCTAATTTTGATGATGATGAAGAAGATCAAACATTAGATCCTAATGACTATTTTAATGATGATGACGAAGATCAAACATACGATCCTAATGATGATGAAGAAGAAGATGAAACATCCGATCATGATAATGATGATGAAGAAGATGAACGCAAGATCAAGAATTTCATGAAAGATTTGCCGAGTAGAGTGTCTTTCCGGCGCCCGAAGTCGGAATTCCAGCTGTGGGCACTTTGGAGTAAGCCGACTACTCTCTCTCCTTGCAGTAAGATGCTTTTCTCTGTGTTTTTGTCACCCTTAATTTCTCACCTTTTTGTCAATTATTAGCAAAAAAATGAAATATGTATATAGTTGGCAAGGAAATTTAACTCAATAGCAGCTTAGCTTAAGAATTTCAATAAAGATTTACCGAGTGAAGTGTCTTTCCGGCGCCCGTCGTCGAAAAGAGAGCTGTGGGTCTCTCTTTGAATGAGCTGCTTTTCTCTATCTCTCTGTCTTTTTGTCTCACTTAATTTCTCACCTTTTTTCTATTATTAACAGAGAATTGAAATATGTATATAGTTAGCATGGAGATTTAATTCAATAGCAGCTTAGCTTAAGAAATTCAATCTTTATCTCAGGTGTATAATAATAAAGTTGTTGGATTGAACGGTGTAGGTGGTGGTAGTATTACGGATTCGGCAACTCACACCCCCACCACAAATCAACCCATCATTACAGACATCATCAATTCTGCCCTTCTACACTTCCATCCAAGTTGTTATGATGATGTTGGACTTCTTATACAGTTTTGGGCACCCATCACAACAGAAACAGGATGTGTCCAGCTTGTTACTTCAGACCAACCTTTTGCTCTTTCTTATGATCTTGATGAAGGACTTCTTAATTATAGGAAGCAGTCTTTGCAATACAAATTTAATGTGGATGGGGATGGGGAAGAAGTAGAAGGCCTTGGAATCCCTGGCCGTGTTTTCCGCCAAAAATGGCACGAGTATCTACCAGATGTGCGACATTACTCTACCAAAGAGTACCCACAGCGTGATTTTGCTCTAGCTTGCCATATTTCGAAATCTTTTTGTTTTCCGTTGTTTCAAACCTCTTTCCAGGAATGCGTTGGAGTTCTTGAGTTTGCTACAACTACCAATTCCGTTTTATACTGGACGTGTAAATCGTTTATCCAGGTTTGGTGATCGGATATGAATGCCATCATATTTGGAGATGATAGATATGATTTTACCTTTTCATTAATTTGAACCTTACTAAAATTATTCACTTTTTCTTTCTCTTGCAGCTTGCGGGTCTGAAAACTTCTTCGTGTGATGGATATGATTGTATTAGTAAGGTAAGTTAGAGCTGTAATATCCAAATGTGAGATTTGGTACTTTTATATGTTTTCGCTACTCTCTTCTCTCATCCACAAATGTCTATACCAGGGTTTAGATACATGGGATGAAATCGAAGAAGGGTTGGAAGTGGTGTGCAAAACTCACGACTTACCTTTGGCTAAGACATGGATTCCGTGCGGGCATTTCAATGGCAATTTGGATAATAGCTATGATACGTTTGATGTAAGCTGTATGGGACCAGCCTTTCACTATGTATGTGACGCATCTTGTATTCTAGATGGTGAGCTGAATGATTTCTTTGATGACTGGAATGATTTTCAAAGGGGGCATGGAGTTGTTGGGAGTGCATATCAGTCACATAAACTATGTTTTTGCAGAGATATAACTCAATTCAGCATAACTGAATACCCCTCCCTGCCCCTTCCACGTGCTTTTGGCTTAACAGGTTGTTTCGCAATTTGTTTGCAAAGTACTTTTTCCGACAATTATGATTACATCATAATAGAGTTTTTTTTGAATCCTAAAAACACATATGGTGAAGACCCAACTACCTTCTTGTGCCCAATATTAGAAACAATGAAACAACATTTCCCAAACTTTAAGCTTGCTTCTGGAGTCCTACAAAATGGACAAGAGATGATGCAGCCACATTCATCAAATCAACAGATAATACTTGAACTTGATATTGACAACCAATGGAATCTTGTTGATGCGGAGCAAAATAATGTTCCTGTTACTCGTTCAGATGATGCACGCATGAATCAGGAACCTGTTTCGGATGAGGGTCGCATGAATCAGGAAGTTGCTACTTTTCAATGCCAAAGTACGACTTCTCCACTTGGGCTTGGAGTCTTACATGATGGACAAGAGACGTTGCAGCCGCAGTCATTAATTCAGCAACCAACAGATGAAGTTGAAGTTGATATCAACAGTGGAAGGAATGTTGATGCAGAGCAAAATAACACTCCTGGTTCTTCTTCAAATGGTGAACATCCAACATTCAGTCACGAGGAACTCAAAAAATATTTCGAAATGCCACGTAAAGTTGTTGCACAGAAGTTTAAAAGTAAGCTTACACAATAATTGAAATTGTTGCTTGTAATCTTGCTCTTATTATTTTCAATTTTTGAGATTTTGTTATTGAATTCTTATTTTTGCAGTGAGCGAATCTACATTTAAGCGTAGATTGAGAGATATTGGAATCAAGCGCTGGGAAAATGGTAGGGGGAAAAAAAAGTTTAAAAGCTCTACTTCTAGACAAAACCCTACATGTTCTGATGCTCACATGACTCAACTTATAAGACCACCACCAGAAGCAAAGACGATGACTATAAAGGCAACCTATGGAGATGATATGATAAAGTTTGACTTATCCTTTTCATCAAGAATAGTGGAGTTGAATCAGGAAGTGTCCGAGAGGTTGAAATTAAATGTTGGAACGTATAAGATCAAATATTTAGATGATGCTGACGATCAGATTTTAATAACCGGTGACAAAGACTTGCAGTATTGTATGACTGCTTTCAATTCATTGGGCATGAATACAATCAAAATGTTCATTGAGCCCATTACCAATATATCTCCTTCAACCTGACTACTAATGAATATATGTTCCTAACTATGTGTTGATACCAAGTAATTAAATTTTTATTCAGTATGTATTTATGTAATTTTTTTCTTTTCACCAAGGAATATATATCAGTAGTTTCTATTGTCCTAATTCCCACTTTGTTCTCTACTATTGTTGGCATACATTTCAGATTCTGATTTTTTTTTTTTGGAAGGTCATTTCAGATTCTAAATTAATTTTTTCATTTGATGAGATAATTAGTTGTTGCAGACATACTTCCATTGATTAAAGGTAGTAGACACAATGACCATGGAAGCTCAATTTGGCACAATGACCATCGACCTTCCTTTTGAAAGGTAAAGACGTACCACTAAACTATAACAGTCTTAGGTCACTCTTTAAATTTTTTAGAACAAACAACTTCTTAGTTGTTATGCAGCCAAAATTGAGCCACAAACCTCGGTTTTCTTAAAGATTATTTCAAAAGCCAGAGGTTTAAAAATGCAAGTCCTCAAGTTTTCATAGAAGCTAGTAAAAGCATTGGTTCTTAAATTCTAAATATCATAAAATCATAAAAGGTTTTCCTAAAAAAAATAAAAAAAAATTAGGTCCAATTCTCTGAAGAAATAATATTTGAAGATGTTTTAAAATCCACAAACCTTGGATCACATAAAATTGCTTAATATGTTGTCTTTTTTTGGGTACTCTGTTTTGTTTCATCACTCACCAATTTTGTAATTCTTTCATACCCAACCCATTCAAAACCCGCTCAAAGCCACCCCTAGTCCTGCCCCATCAACCCCTTCAAGCCCCACAATGACAATGACAACAACCAAGCTTAAAATGCAGATGACCTTCATTGAAGCCTTGATTTGTCTATCCCAATAGACAAATAAGGTGGCTGTGATTCTCGTGTTAGAAACAATTCATGATTTACCACTAAAAATACCCACATTAATACCATAACTTTATTCATGCCTCCTAAAAATCGTCTTCATCCTTTAGTCAACAGAAAATGTCCCGATATTTTTTTTTCACAAGAGAACATACAAACAAGACACGGTAAGCGCTTTTGTGATATTATTATACACGAATTTCAAACTTGACAGAAGAAAATGACAATGGTAAGCAGAAACCGCCTTATTAGTAAGGTTGCTGAGCAGGCATAAGCTGCACTAGGAGGCATTAAATAAGGGACATACACAAAAGAATGTCATTAACTATAAAAGCAAACTTAATACAACAAGGTACTTTTAAGATGAGATAAAGAAGTTGGACAGGTAAAATAGAAAAGCATACTCACGGTGCGATTTATTGCTCCGGGGAGACCCTCATAGAAAGCTGGCCATCCACATCCAGAGTTAAATTTAGTAGTGGACCTGTAGAGAGGAGTACTGCATCCTGCACAGTTGTAGACTCCATCACCAAAGAACTTGTCATACTCTCCCGTGCCTGGGCACTTGTACATACAGCAAATTATATATAACCAGGTAAGAAACGACGAGGTTTGGCTGTTTCAGCAAGAGTTATTTAGAACAAAAAAAGGGTCTGATGAATCTCATTTTAATCTCCGAGGCATCAAACAAAGATGCAACAAACATTTAACTCTTACAATGGCCAATTCAACCCAACCACCATAAGATTCCACATTGTTCATTTCTTTTCCTTACTTCCTCGGGGATGAAACAGCGCTTCATATTATGCTGTAACAATATGAGATAACAACTACAGTTGTAAAAAAAAAAATGTTCTAGTAATAATAGAAGAATTTATGTGGATGATTGAGATTGCAGTCCTGTCACATCCAGCAGTGGAGTTCTTTTTCTAGACATGGAGAGAAAAAGTTAAGTGGGGTACTTTATCTCTTCCATCCCAGTCGGGACGGTGCTCTGCGTTCTATCTAGGTTCCACTCTTACATACGCCCACCTCACATAGAAGTAGGACCTCTTCAATAGAAGAACCAGTGTGAGTGGGAAGGAATTGCATCATTCATTCATCGGATAGTTGGTACATTCATTCCAGAGGATACATTTTATCCAACTTCCTTTTTCAGTTTTTTGGCTCTCTTCTCACATCTCTGAAGACAAATAATTAACTAAATTTCAAAATTTCATCCTTTACATCAAAGAGGGCAATGGAAGGAAGGAAGCAGAGAGAGAGAGAGACAAAGAATGGTCTTACCTATTTAGTCTACCATGAACTTATATTTTAGGGTCTAACTCAGTTATTACTTGGAGAAATTTTTTACCCTATAGTTGCTTCGACGACAGTTTGGCAAGGGAGGTATGATGTTGTCTTCCCATATACATCGTTGCCTGCATATGTCGTGGCACTGTTTTATGCTTATCAGTATATTCAAGCTGTATAACTTCAATGGAAGCTATAAAGTCACCGAAATATATCAGCACATCAACGCATTTGACGCTTCGTTCTTCTTTAACTTTTATTTAAAAATAAATGGTCTAGACTCTGGACTCTCGTTCCTGAACTGATAATCTCTACTCACATCGTCAGAAAATCCAGTAGGAGCTCTTAAATTGGATTTCACATACAACCTCCACTTTTTCCTTCCTCCTCTAGCAGCTTGGTAGCCAAATTCTTCCCTATATGTAACATATCACGTCAGGCATTATGTACTTCACTCATAGAACAAAGGAAGACATCAAATTTCTTAATCCAATATGAACTCAATATAGGTATGACCAGAGGTGGCTTTTCAGCAACTTATCATGTGATTTCTAGCAATACTGGAGATATCTTGACGGTATATCAGATCCTATTGATTTATTGCATAATTCCTACAATTTTTCACAAGACTGTCGGTGACATCCTGAAAACCTCTTTAAAAAACATATGTTCAACTCAAACCACATCCACTTTCAGAATGCATGGATAAAAAGGGTAAAGAAGGTGGGGGGTGGAAGACTCAAAACCCTAGTCTATAAAGAATGACAAAGAGCATCCACCTATATCACACGGGCTCTATACATGTGGGTATGTGCCTAAGCATCAGATTTTCAAATGCCAAAAACCCAAGGACAGGGGAGAACAATTAAATATTCCTATTCTTTTAATATTCATCTTTCTGAGTAAAATGATATATTAATGTAACATATAATTTTCAAAAGAAACATAATACCTAATATTGTTTTATGACCAATTACATAATGAACTTGAATTACCTGACATGTAAAATATATATAACCCATTTTCTATATTCAGTGTCATCGATCTAAACACAGAAACCTCATGCATTTAAAAGAGGTCAGGCAATATAGTCAATCTCTTGAGCCAGTAACTAAACTATGTTGGACTTCATCATCATCATCCTTGCCTTAATCAAACATATGAATTGGGTCGCCCATATGAATTCTCTCTTTCCAAATTTTCTATTACATGCCAATTCACCTACTATATTTATCTTTTTCAGAACATTTTTAATAACCTCATCCCATGTTATTTTTGGCCTCCCTCTCTGTCTCTTACCCTCTATTACAACTATTTTTCTCGTTTGACCGGCGCGTCACTAGGTCTCCGATGTATATGACCAAATCATCTAAGTCTACTTTCTCGATTTTTCCCACCAATGGGAGCTACACCTAATTTTCCTCTCACACTTTTAGTGATCCTATCTCTTCGAGTCACTCGACTCATCCATCTTAACATTCTCATTTCAACTACATAACGGCGTTGTTCTTGTTTCTTTTTTAGGTCCCAACATTTCGCTCCATACAACATAGTTGGTCTAATAACGATCGTATAGAATTTTCTTTTTAGCTTATGTGTCGTTCTTTTATCACATAAAATCCCACTAGCATGTCTCCATTTTGTCCTACCCACCCCAATTCTACTAGTTTCATCACTATCTCTACATCCATTTGTATTATCAATTCTAGATACCAAAAGTGGTAGTTTTGAGTAATCCTTTTGTTTTGAAGTGCTATCATTATATTATTAATATTCCAATTTTTATTAAATTTGCATTCCTTAACTATGAATATGGGCATCTTATCTTCTGAAGGAATTCTTCTATGGCTTGAATGATTTTCAAAGGGGGCATCGAGTTGTTGGGAGTGCATATCAGTCACATAAACTATGTTTCTGTAGAGATCTAACTCAATTCAGTATAACTGAATACCCCTCCCTGCCCTTTGCACGCTTTTTTGGGTTAACAGGCTGTTTCACGATTTGCTTGCAAAGTACTTGTGCCAAAAATTATCATTACGTACTAGAGTTTTTTCTGAATCATAAAAACACATATGGTGAAGACCTAAGTACCTTCTTGTGCTCGATATTAGAAACAATGAAGCAACATTTCCCAAGCTTTAAGCTTGCTTCTGGAGAAGAACTCGGGAAGGAGTTATCGATTGAATTTATTAATCCTCGCCTGAATCAAGAGCTTGCTTCCTTTCAATGCCAAACTAGATCATCTCCATCTAGGCCCGGAGTCTTACAAAATGGATAAGAGATGATGCAGCCACATTCATCAAATCAACAGCTAATACTTGAAGTTGATGATATCAACAATGGATGGGATGTTGTTAATGCGGAGCAAAATAACATTCCCGTTTCTTGTTAAGATGAGGGTTGCATGAATCAGGAACTTGCTACTTTTCAATGCCAGAGTACAAGATCTCCACTTGGGCTTGGAGTCTTACATCATAGACAAGAGACGTTGCTGCCGCATTCATCAATTCAGCAACCAACAGATGAAGTTGAAGTTGATATCAACAGTGGAAGGAATGTTGATGCAGAGCAAAAAATCACTCCTGGTTCTTCTTCAAATGGTGAACATCCACCATTCACTTGTGAGGAACTCAAAAAAAAATTCGGAATGAAACTTATTGATGTTGCACAGATTTTTGGAAGTAATCTTACACACTAATTGAAATTGTTGCTTGTAATCTTGCTCTTATTATTTTCAACTTTTGAGATTTTGTTATTGAATTCTTATTTGTGTAGAGACTGAATCTACATTTAAGCATAGATTGAGAGATATTGGAATCGAGTGCTGGCCAAATGGTAGGGGAAAAAAAAAATTTAAAGGCTCTACCTCAAGGCAAAACCCTCCATGTTCTGATTTGCCTGCTAAGAAACACGTGGCTACTGATGCTCGCACGACTCCAGTTGTAACACCACCACCAGAAGTAAGGACTGTAACAATAATGGCAAGATATGGTGATGATAGGCTCAAATTTAAACTATCTTCTTCATCAGGAATGGTGGAACTGGAAAAGGAAGTGACCAAGAGGTTGAAATTCAAGGCTGGAACTTATAAGATCACATATAATGATGGCAAGTATAAGATTTTAATAGCCTGCGACGATGACTTGAAAGAATGCATGAGTGCTATCAATTCAGTGGGCACAATTGCAATGTTAATTGAGCAAATTACCCAAATATCACCTTCAACCTGACTAATTATGTATGTTCGTACCTATTTGTTTATATCAATCTAGTTCCTAAAGACAGCACTAATACAAGTTCTCAACTTTCTCTTCAATATGTATCTATGTCATGTTTATCTTTTCGGCAAGAAATATCAGCACTTTCTATTTCCCGGCTCCCAATTTGTTCTCTAAAATTGCTCTGTCTTCTATTTGTTCAGTCTAAAAAACAGTTGTATTTCGAAGAGAAGTGATGTCGGACAGAATTCTGAACAATTTGGCAAGCAGTTTGACAAGTCCATTTTCGACAAACCGATAGTATGTTTTGGGTGGAAACAGAAAAACCCACTAGGGCCATGCTGGTTTTTGGCTGAAAACTTTCGTTTAGGGCTCCGAAATCGTTGTGATTAACACTTCATGATTTACTAATAAAAATAATAATGCGTGATAACATTATATTAAGTTGATTTACTACTATTTAAGTTGATTTTAAATATATTAAGTTTGTACCATGCACGCACGTAATGTAATAATTGGATCAACTTTTATTTTCTGAAAAACAGAAGCTTTTGGGTTCTGAACATACCTCTCAAAATTCCCTCTAGCACTTGGATGAAAAAAGCCGCAGCTAAGGTCCATTGCTAGGCCTTTTATCAAACATCATATAGGCAATGAAGAGTCCACCATGTTCTAGTATGATGCTTGAATGCCATTGAGTCCTATTTCATGCAGAATTAACAATCTCTCCATCCATACCATCTCTGAAGCTCAATTTGCCAAAGTCAGTGCGCTCGTCAGAGATGGAAATTGGGTCCTTCCTTCAGCTCTGTTGAGGCAAATCCTTAAGCTAAGGTCCATTGACACTCCTGCTCAGCTAGACCTCAACCGTGAAGATCAAACCAGTTTAGTTCACTCATTCTCTGGCTAGCTCTGCAGATTATCAACCAAAACTCTTTATTGCAACTTCAATGCCCTAATTTTGCACGAAGGTCATCTCCAACAGCTTTCTGATATGGTACCTTCCCAAAAAAAACAAAAAGCTTTCTGATATATTGGGCTGAGCCCCTCTTGGCTTATGGCATTTCTTTTGGTTGGGCTTGCCCACGTTTTCTGTATTTCTCGAGACTGCCTTTTTACTACCGTGCAGTTCTCTATAAAAAATAATAATAATAAATAAAATCCTCATTTTTTAAAAAATATTACAAATAGTGTCATTACAATTTGGCATAACCTAAAATCTTGCTTCTTTTAATTTCTAAATCCAAAAATCACTAAATGCCTAAAGTCTTTCGGTTTTGGTTTTTGTTTTTTTTTTTTTTTTTTTTTTTTTTTAATAATATCATTTTTTGAAACACAATAAATCATGAAAAATATCAAATGATAAAAGATAGTAGTAAATAAGCAATTTATAAAAATTTTTGTTTTACATTTTAAAAGTGGGCCTCTCCAAATTTCAAACAAACGTTAGATTTAACACCACCAAAAAAAAAAAAACCACAATAAGAGTGCGAGCGACTTTTACTAGCAAAGCTCTTAATTATATCTTAAAATTTTGAATATATATAAACATATATGTATAAACATATCTTAATTATATCTTTTTCTTTAATTGTTACACTTAGCATATTATTGTTTCTTTAGTTCTCAATCAACATCAGTTGTTGTGGAAACAAAAATCTATTCCAACCCTCTTTTGTGCAGGTGAAAGTTTTGACAGAAAATACAATAGGGGTGTTTAGCTGTTTATGTAACTTAATTCCTATCGAAATTCTCGTCACACCTATGTTTGTACCATATGCTAATTGACCCCTTGTAGAAATTTACTATAGTTTTTAACTTTGCTCATTCAACGAAGCAAGATGGTCATTCTCAAAACCGGAAGTTTGCTCATGGAATCTTTTATCAATTGACAAAGTGATTATGACATAACTTCAATGTTTTTGACATTTATTAGATTCGGGAACGGAAAATATTCAATTTTGGAGCAAATAAAGACCTGAATGATGAAAAAACTAAGTGTACTTAAATTAAAAGAGAATAAAAAATTAATTAAATGTGAAATAATTAAACTGTCTCTCTTATCTTTTTTTATAATACCCTTGTATATATAATATAAAGGCATTATCAAAGACATAAGGATATTTTCAGAATTTCATATCTTATCAGTGACTTCAAACATTTATTTACTCATTTTTTCAAGCTTAACGGATATAAACAACATAAACCCTTATTTGCATAAACCCTTATTTACTCAATTTTTTAAAAGTTAATGAACTTATATAAACAACATAAGTCCTTGATCATTTTTTTTAAAATTTAATAGACTTATATACACAAAATAAAGAGTTATTTGCCCAAAATGTAAACATCAGGGTGATTTATTTATTTATTTATTTTTTTTTTTCACTTTTACCCCCATTTATTATTACATGACTGCATATATGATAGCCATAGCTTTTGTTGGAATCACTTTGATACCAATTTTTTTTATGGCTGTGATTCTCATGTTAGAAACACTTCATGATTTACCAATAAAAATACCCACATTAAAACCACAACATTAATCATAGAGATTACTAGATCTAAGTAGGGTATCTCTTTATCACAAAGAAAGAGCACTTATTTTTAATTAATTATGATAGTTGGTTACCTTATATATTCAACTTTTTAAAGGTATTTTTAATAACCTCTATCCCATGATACAGAAAATTTAGGGTCGGAAGCGTATAATTCCTCGGTCGTTTCTAGTCCGGATTCTGACTTAGATTTTCTTTTGTCTTTTCGTGATGTAGTCGTGGTAGTGATAAAGGTGTCGGTGTCATCTACCATTTTTGGAAGACAAAGATGGATGCATTGCTCTCATATAAGCCATACCTCCTAAAAACCATATTCCTCTTCTCGTCAACATAAATGGTCCCATTATTTTTTTTTTTTTTTTACAAAAGAACGTACAAACAATGGTAAGCAGAAACGCCCTTATAGTCTATATGAGATTTCTTCCATTTGATAGTATTTATATATTCGACATATATGGAATTTAATTTTGAACTGGACGTGAAGGTGGTGGTATTACGGATTCGGGTAACTCACACTCCCACCACCAATCAATGGATCATTATCGATTGAATTTATTCAACCCCGCGTGAATCAGGAGCCTGCTTCTTTTCAATGCCAAAGCTTTAACTTTTGAGTTTCTTCTTCTAGAACTGATAGATTATTCTTTTGCACTTGGAAACTATGTAAGTTTTTGTTGGGGCACGAATACAATCAAAATGTTGATTGAGCTGAAATAAAGCTAGTAAAATTCCAATAAGTAGACCATAGTTCTTAATTACTATAGGGATATTACAAACTGAGAAGAGAGGAACTGAGTGACTATAAAGTTCCCACTCTTGCTTTGCCGTTCATGTATTCATATAAATACACACACACACACACACACACATAGATCGCTTTTGAAATGTGATATGGCTGCTTGCATATATATTTTCCCCTGGCAGTTAAACTCAGAAATCACACACTCATTTTTGTCCCTATAGGGACCGAAACCGTCCGACCTTTAATTTCGATATCACTAAAGTTACAGCACTTTTAATTTCTGAAGGTGCAAGTGATACCACTAGGTTACAGATCGTGGTGGTGGCTATAGATAATAATTTTGATTGAAACTAATATGGGAAAAAATGTGTAGACGCAATGGCTAACACTTAGAGCAAATATTTTCAAAGTTTGTAGACATTTCAGATTCTAAATTCATAAATAAGCCTTAAATAAAAGAAAACAACTTGAACATTCTTTATAAGGTTATGTTCAAGCAATCCCCTAGTTTGCTAATAATCTAGGAAGTAAACTTTCCAATTCATAATAAAAAGTTAAAACTCAATAAACTTGCAAGTCAAAGAAGTATCACATTAACAATTAGTAACTCTTACCTCATGTTCGTAAACCCTCAAGCAAATACTTTGAAGTTCCATACTCGACAATAATTAAACACCTAAATAAATTCATTTAACATAATTTGATTCATTTATCTATTACTTAAAGGATCCCTAGTTAATCCCTCTTTAACTAACTAGCAAAGGCTATAACTTAGTGGCACTTCTTCATCTTCCAAAGTGAAACCTGAGGTCCATGAACTATCAAGAATCTACTGTGATCCATGAATCTAATATCATTCAGTTTAAACAAGTAATTCATCATTTCTATGATTAACTACATTCTAACCAAATATCTTAACACACTCTGCATACTGACTTAGGGTCAAGAAATTTACTTAAAAAAAGACCTTTATAATTATTCCACTTTTTGCACTTGCATTTGAAGAGAGGAGGAGTAAAATGCCACTAAGTCATGATTTACCACTAAAAATAAGCGGTCTAGACTCCCGACTCTTGTTCCTGAACTGAAAATCTGTATTCAGATTGTCAGAAAATCCAGTAGGAGCTCTTAGGTTGGATTTCACATACAACCTCCCCTTTTTTCTTCTTTCCCATCCCTCCCTCAAACTCCATCCTAGTCGTTTGGTGTCCAGATTCTTCCCTATACATAACACATCACGCCAGACATTACGTACTTTCACTCATGCAACAAATGAAGAAACGAAAAAAGATAACAAATTTCTTAATAGACTGAACATCAAACAATATCCAGCATATCAGTGGAGCTCAATTTCTTAATAAGTTGTTTCAGCAACTTATCATGTGATTTCTAGCAATGGAAGGAATGAAGTTAATGCAGAGCCAAATAGCATTCCTGTTCAGACAAGGCAAATTCAATTACTTATGAGGAACTCAAAAAGCATTTTGGAAAGAAAATTGAAGATGTTGCACAGATTTTTGATGGTAAGCTTACACAGTAATTCAAATTGTCGCTTCTAATTTTCTTTACTATTTTCAATTTATGAGTTTCTTCTTTTAGAATTAATAGATTATTCTTTTGCACTTACCCTATATGAGTTTTTTATTATTGAATTCTTATTTTTGCAATGAGCAGATCTACGTTTAAGCGTATATGCCGAAAGAATGGAATCCACAGCTGGAAACGAGGCAAGAGAAATAAGGATAAAGGCTCTCCCTCTAGACGAGACCCTCCATGTTTTGATTTGCTTGCTGAGAAACTTGTGGCTACTGCTGAGGAGTTGAAAGAGGAAGTGTCCAAGAGGTTGAAGTTAAATGCTAGGAGTTATAAGATCAAATATAATGATCGTGATGATCAGATTTTGATAGCCTGCGACGAGGACTTGCGGAATTGTATGAGTGCTTCCAATTCAATGGGCACAATCAAATTGGGCATTGAGCCAATTACCCAAATATCACCTTCAACCTGACTACAGGCAAGTTTGTAACTATGTGTTGGTATCAATCTATTATCTATCCACGGTCCTAGTTCCTAAATACAATATATGTATTTATGTAATTTTTATCTTTTCTGCAGGAAATATCAGCAGTTTCTATTTCCTAGCTCCCACTCTGTTCTCTAGGATTGCCGAGTCTTCTACTCGTTCAGTCTAAAAAAAAATACATTTGTATTTCAAAGAGAAGACCTTACTGAAATGTAATATGTTCAAAGTGAAAGAAGCAACTTTCAGTTTTGCAGGAATCAATATGTTTTATGTATGTGGCCTTGACATAAATGATCCACTTGTTTGGCAAATGATTCATTTGTTTCTTCATCTGGAGTTTGACAAATGATTCATTTGTATCAGCTACATTTGCAGGACCCAGTGGTCTTGTTACAACTAGAAGAACCATTAGGCGATAAGGTGAAAGACATGACTGGGCCTAATAAGGTGAAATATCTTCAAAGCGAAAATTTTCTTTAATTTCAGCTGCTTCAATAAATTTGTTTTGTTAAGGTGACAAATTAAATCAATTGTGCTGAAATAAAGCTAGTAAAATTCCATTGAGTCAGGACCAGAGTTCCTAGCTACTAGAGGATTATAACATTTCTTGAAACTAATATGGAAAAAAAATGTGTAGACACGATGTCTACCATGTAAGTTTTTTATATACATTTCTTTTATGTAAGTAAATAGCAAATAGTTTTAAAGTAAGCAGATGAGCTAATTAGTTGCCATTAATCTTGATGGACTTCTTAAGTACATGCCAATGTGTTCACTGTCATTTTCTTATGTTTAATTTTTTGGTCAAAAAAGGTGAATTTGGAGAGTAAGTGTTCAAAAAGTTGAAGATCAAATATTCATAAGGTTGGTGGTAGGCATAAGCTGCACTCGGAGGCATTAAAGAAGGAACTCAGAGGCATTAAAGAATGAACATACACAAAATTCTACTGTAATCTACACCAGCAAGGTGAAAACCCTAGAATTCAACCTATACCCGCAAACCCGAAGTACAGGTCTATATTCCAAGGACGTTACCAAGTTCTAGACAGAGAGAATGGAGATACCATTACTGAGGAGAAGATTCTGCACGAAGAAACTTGAGTGAAATACTATTAACACAATGACATTCATCCATTGGAGTAGGGAACCCTTCACCTTTAATACATGACCTAGATGTCCACCACAAGCTGCACATGTAATTTCAATCATCATTCCATTTGGGTCCGCCTGAGAGCAAAAGAGGATGTAATTAACTATGAAAGCAAAACTAAGATGAGATTAAAATGCTGAACAAAGTAAAGAGAACAAGCACGCTCACATTCTGCACAATTGTAGACTCCCTCACAAAAGAACTTGTCATACTCTTTCATCTTTAGTCGTTTGGTGTCATCATTCTTCCCGGATAATTATGTGCTTTCAGTCATGCAACAAATGAAGAAACCAATAAAGATAACAAATTTCTTAATACAGACTGAACATCAACCAATATCTAGCATATCAGTGGAACTCAATTTCTTAAATTGTTTCAGCAACTTATCATGTGATTCTAGCAATACTTAGTGTTCCTATTAATTTGGTAGACTTAGAGAGCAGGAATATATTGAGTTGGTTAATAAAATCACAGCCAGAATTCAATCCCGGAATAACAAAAACAGAGTCCATTGGTATGATTTTTTTGATTTCATCCCAATGTCCACGAGCATTCCTTCTTCCTTTGGTTAGGTATTCAAGACAAATTACTTGCCCTACAGAGAATGATTAAAATGGAATTTAATACAAGGGTCAGAGTTGTTCTTTGTAGGGAAAGGGTAGAAGATAGAAACCATCTCTTCTTTGAATGCTTATAGTAAAATGTGCATACTTACAGTTTCATTTCTGCAAAAAGGCCTCAATTCCTAGTTCATAGGTCTGCTGTAATTGATTCTACTCTAGTTAATACATTTTCAATTCTAAACTAATCAAGCATAAAGTAGGCAATGGAAAGAATACTCACTTTTGGTATGACAATTGGAGCCAACTGGTCCTCTGCATCACAGGTATAGCCGTAATCGATTCATCTCTAGTTGATAGATTTGCAAAGGTTGAACAATTCATGACTGGTACATCTTGGTCTTCCCACCATCTATCCTCAATCTTATCCCATCACTACCAACCAATCCACTCCCTGATTCCACCATTGATGACTCCATTATTGGATCCCATCACCAACAGGAACTTACTCACTCAACATACACAATTCCATATTTTCTAGCCATCGCCCCTTCCGTCAATTGGAACCACCTTGTTTGGAGCTCACCAACTATTGCTGTTCACAACAGTCTCCCCACCCTTGATTAAAAAAAAATCCAAGGCCTTTCTCAGATAAAGCAACATTTCACCCCTCTGTGAACCCCTCCCTGAAAACCACAACCACCTATTATTTGCTTGTGAATTCTCTCAGCTCATTTGGTCATTTTTACAAACACGTTGTGGATCTTACTGCTCCACAATGAATTGGAACTCACTTGTCAATTGACCCCTCCCTTTTCACCGGAAATCGAAGGCAACACACTTCATATCCAAGCTTGCATTCAGAGCCTCTGTCTATCATATCTCGCTCTTCTCAGAGAAATCATCCACACAATCAAAGGTCTTCATCAAATTCGAAGTGTTGTTAGAGAGAATCTTCTATCAATGCAATTGAGAGACACTGCAATCAACACAAGGTTAGTTCAGGACTAGGAGCTTCCAGTTTCTTGCCTCCGACCACCACCATGGTCTACGGCCACCGGACTGGTATAACTGTTACCAAAAAACAGTTACTTTGGTTCTTCAACGCTTACTTTTTAGTAGCCACTCTAATGGGCCATTTAATATGGGTCATATTTGGACCAATTTATATTGTTTCTGTCATGTTTTGGGCCATGTAATATGCTCATGTTGGCCAATTAAAATGTGCCAGTTTTAGGTTTTTATTCTCGCATACAAAAACTAAACTAGAAAACGCTTATAGATTTGTGTGTTTTTTTTTTTTTTTGGGTAATTAAAAAGGAAGATGTTAAAAATCAAAAGGCCAAAGGTTTTTTTAAAGGGTAAATTGCACTGACACCCTCTTGGTGTTTCATTTAATGACACTTAGATCCTGGTCAACGATTTTTTAGACATTGACACCCTTGAGGTTTTAAATGTCATATTTGCCCCTGATTATTTAATTTGGTTTATTCACAAAATATCAGCTATGTTAATTGACAAAAATACCCTTCATCCACCATTACTCAAACCCACTACCTAACCCCCTCTTCTAAGCGTCACCGTCCTCCACTCACCGATCCAACCCACCACAACCACCAATCCAACCAAAATTCACCACCTCCAACTAAATTTTCTCCACCCACCATACTCGCCTATGCTAAGGAATCACACGATTCCTTTTCCTCACCCTATGCTTGCCTCTACTCCTCCTATGTGTGTCGGTGTGTGCGGTTATACGCAGGGGCGAAGCTAGGATTTTAATTCAGAGGGGGCACAGTTTGAAAAAAAAAAAAAAAAAAAATTCAACTAACATTGATATAACACACAAAAAGAAGAATTTTAAGAGAAAAAAAAAAAAAAGGAAAGAAAAATGAGATATATTTGAAAGGAAAAAAATTAGAGTATGATTGAAATTGACTTTCTTTTAAAGAAATTTACAAAATTTAAAGAACAAAAGAAATAAAAAGTTAAGATAATTTTAGAAATTAAAAATTTAGGAGGGGCATGATATATAATTTTTCATATATACTAAAAAAAATTACAAATTAAATTTGGCTTTGATTGTTCGCCAATGGAGAAACAATTTCGGCCATTGAACTCAAAAACGTGATCACAACCCTACGATCGAATGGCCATAATCTCGACTCCAACGCCTCCGGTTCCAGATCGATGGTGCAAAGCCCAAGCACTCCACAGTTTTGCTGTGGTTAGGGCTTTACGCGTTATGAATAATGGTGGCGAGTGTTTTGTTCTCAGTGGTGGGTGCTCGGCAGTGGCTTTAACGGCTTATCGAGGTGATGCATAATTTGGGTACGACGATGAGATGGTCCTTCTCAAGTCTCGTTACCATCGACAACGTCGCTGAGTCCAAACAACATTATATGTTGATTTAGACAACGTCGCTAAGTCCAAACAACGATCCTTACACTGACCTACATTTGGGTAGTAAACCACAAAACTCCGGTGAAAATTTTAGTGTCAGCGAAAGCGGAGATCACCATTAACGACCAATTAACGGTGAAGGATTCTGGCGGTGAAAGCCTGTGGCAGACGAAGAACACAAAGAAGGCGGTTTGGGCGAAGCTTTTGGACAAAGTCAATTTGGTACTTGTGATACCCCTAATCTCGGAGACACGGGTTAATCAAGTCCGCACCAAAAACCAGGGGATATCAAACAATTAATATTTAAAACGAACACATAATACAAAAAAAATAAATAAGAAAAGAAATAATATCGCTGAAAGGAAAACTATATAATAAAGATCCTTTTAATAACTCTAATATAAATCAAATATCCATAATAATAAATAAACCTCCAAAGTACAACTCAGGAATCCGAATAACACGGACCCCTAAAAACTATCCAACTCAATAAAATAAAATAAATAATAAATGTGTGAGTCTATATTAAATGCATGAAAAAGGATCCTACGTTGATGACACCGGAAGAGTAATGATGACTGGCCTCTGCTCTGCACGAACTAACTCTATGCCTGGTACTGATGAAGACCTGAAAAGATATTAACAAAGGTGGGTCAAAACCCACGAACAAGTCTTTTCTACCATATCCCAAACAGAGACCCGATAAACGATACATCCTTAGTCCAACTCATGCAATAACTACATAGTTAATATATAAATATACACACTAAAACTCTCATAGGACTATAGGGCAGACTCAATCGGATAGTGAGTATCTCATGAAAAATCACACACTAGGTGGTCATGAGTCCTCTTTCTACCAGAGCACACACATCTCCTATATCCAGCCACCCATCTCATTTGGCGATATAAGCCTCATCCTTAACCATTAATTATGAGACCTCAAGCTCGTATTATAGTGCACAATAATAAAATACATAATACATATAGCCATACCCTGATATAGCCATACCCTGACAATGGCATAGCTACATAAACAATATCATAGCCATATCCTGACAATGGCAAAGGAAGAGTGACATGGTCCACGTTGTGGTTGATCCAAGGGGAAAGGAACACCAGATTTGTAATTATATTAAAGACTTGACAGTATAATGTGGTCCATTTCAAAAAGTTAATAAGGCTTTATTGAGTTGTATGCATTCGCACTGCCCCTTTCTGTTTTCTAAAACACTATGCAGTGGTAGATAATCAATTTAGACGCCTAAAGATGGTGCCAAAGTGGCTCAAAAAAGCCAGAAACCTGAACTATGTGGAATCCACTAAACAAATTTCTTTCGCCAGACAGCCCTATCAAATATGTAATAATGTATTCTCTTGCCATGGAATCAACAAGGATTCATGTATGCCGTTTACGTACTGGCCATCGAAATTGAGGAGTTCAATTTTGATGTAAGTCCTCGCTGGCACACTACATCTCATGACAATAAATGGTCTAAGTTTTTAATAATTTCTATCTTGTCATTTTTTTCAAATAATTCTGTAGTCTTTTTAAACACTAAAACAAAGCTAAATTCCAACATCCAAGTTATGCAAATCGCATGTTCAAAAGTCTTCAAGATTCGTTAGCCATACCTATTTAGTCTACCGTGAAGGAACTCGTATTTTAGGTTCTAACTCAGTTATTACTGGGAAATTATTGGATCTCTGGTTGCTTGGACAGAGAAGTTTAGCAAGGGAGGTACGATGTTGTCTTCCAATATACTTTGTTGCCAATACATGTTGTGGCACAATTCTATGCCAAAAGTTTATTCAAGCTATATAAATTCAATGTATGCTATTAAGTTGTGAGATATATAAGCACATCAACACGTGATCATTCCTTCTTTAAGTTTTATTTAAACATAAATGGTCTAGACTCCTGACTCTTGCTCCTGAAACGAAAATCTGTATTCAGATCGTCAGAAAATCCAGTAGGAGCTCTTAGGTTGGATTTCACATACAACCTCCACTTTTTCCTTCCCGTCCCTCCCTCAAGCTCCATCTTTAGTTGTTTGGTGTCCATATTCTTCCCTATAAATTAGATTTCACGCTGGACATTTTGTGCTTTCACTCATGGAACAAATGAAGAAACCAATAAAGATGACAAATTTCTTAATGCAGACTGAGCATCAACCAGTATCTGCCATATCACCGGAACTCAATTTCATAATAAGTTGTTTCAGCATAACCCTCCATTTGAATAGCTAGAGAAGAGCACTATTCCGTCAAGCCTCAAAGGAACTCACTTATTTTGACACAACTCTTCTCATTTTCTCTCTCAATTTCCTATCAAAGTTTCACAAAAGTCTCTAGCTTTCTAGGTCAGTACTCTACTCATTTTCTTATTCTTACCTTATGTGTGGTGCGTGTGTATGAATCATCATGAACAGAGATGAGTTCGACACAGGCACCGTTATTGCCCTTTTAATACCCAATTTTGTGTCGGAAACCACCATATTCTTCTTCGTCATTTTACCTCTTTCTCCAATAAAAATCAGTACCAGAAAACCAACCAAAATCACATTATTAATCATGATACTCAATAAAAATCACAAAACACGAATGTTCAGTATGAGATGCATGGTGCATCCTATTTTCTTGTAACATTTTCATTGATGAGACTAAAGTTATGTTAAACGCTAAATCAGAAGTCAAAAAGAAAAATTTAGAATTAACACGATTTAAGATAAGTAGGAATGAAATGGAGTAAAGAATGCAACTTTAGATTTTTCCAGAATTACAAATTGAGAGAAACTATCGATGAAAAGTCAAGTGATACCAAAGAGGAGCGTCTGTTGTATTGTTGATTAGCATATGCCTAATAGTTACAAAAATCATGTTTTCTAATACACAAAATTGGACATCTGATAAATACCATTTTTTATAATGAGTGCAACCAAAATGTGGAGTTGAGATGGATCTGTAACAAGAAAAGACTGGATTAATCTAGGAACGAACACATTCACCAATCAGTTCTATCAAATATCATATCCTCATTTAAATACATGTAACAATATATTCTCTTGCCACCTCATTCCATATTCTTTTAGTCTTCCTCTTGTCCTTCTGATATTTCAATGAACCAAACAATTCACAGATGAAGCATTTGTTAGACTTAAGTGCACATGACAACAATCTAAAAAAACAAAATTGCTCAACTAGTCCTCAAATGATGTCACTTAACTTTGCACCATTTCCTCATCCTAGCTACAAAAAGCTACCATGTGTAGCAACATTAATTTCTTAAATATGAAATGGTTTGCCTTGTCATCCTACGCTAATTGCATCCTTGTAGCACTGTCTAACCCAAAGGCCCACGAAAGCATATTAAAATATTGAAAGTGTGTACTCAAAACCCCTCTACATCCATCAAGCGAACTTGTCAATTTCAGCATCTTTTTACAAGTAAATCCATCAATTCTACTTAATATCTGTAATGAACTGATTGCATCTTTTTACAAGTAAATATTCCATCAATTCTATTTAGTGGGTTGTCTAACCCACTAAAGCCTTTAACCGGAAAAGGATTAAAAATAAATAAAGTGATTAAGCTTACCAAGAAGAGGATCCCCCATTCAGATAGAACTTTAACATCGGCAAGATTCCTAATCAAGCGAAATTGATTGAGCGTGACCCACACAAAGAAAAAACCAAGTATCTGAAACCCACCAAGTACTAATCAGCATCTCTTAATCATAAATTAAGAAGAGCATAAATTGATTAAACCAATTAAGTTTCGTAAATCTCCCATATTCTATAATAATAATTTGAAGATCACTCAAACAGATAGTCGGACCTTAATTTATGAATCAACAAGGATGTTGGCAAGTGCTTTATCCATGCTAAAATTTTCATTATCTACATACATACATACAGTATTTTTGTAGGTAGATAAATGCATGAAGATGTCGTCCTCTGAGGCTTGTAAGGTGTGGTTAGGAACAGATTCAGAATAAAGCCATGAATCTAACATGATCCAATTTAAACAACTAATTCATCAATTCTATAATTAACATACATTCTAACCAAGTATCTTAACACAACCTCTGAATACTGACCCCCAGAAACCTACTGAAAAAGTATCTTTATAATTATTCCACTTTTTGCTTTTGCTTTGAAGAGAGAATGAGAGAGTAGAATAGCGAAAGTGGCGACCGAAATAGAGGAGATGAGCTTGCATCACCGGAACGAGGGGAATAGAAAATTTGAAAAAGAAAAGAGAAATTTTTACACTAAAAAAGGTTAGGAACTACAGGCTAGACATAAAATAATTTTTGTGGGACAAGTTCATAATTATAAAATAACACACATAAGTAATTAGAATAACAAAAAGGGTTACTGGGCAACTTCCCTCAGTAGGATATATCTGGCTTCGCCACAGGTATCAAGAATATTCCTTTCTTTTTTCTTTTCTTTTTCTTTTTTCTTTTTTGTTTTAATGTCTTGTATTCATGATTTACCACTGAAAAAACCCACATTAATACCGTAACATTATTCATACCTCCTAAAAGTTTTCATGCTTAAGTAAAAAGGTCCCATTAATTTTTAAGAGAATGTACAAACAAGACACAATAAGCTCTTTTATGATATTTTACAAGTATCTGAAACTTGACAGAAGAAAAGGACAATGGTAAGCAGAAACCCTATTATTAGTAAGGTTGCTGCGCAGGCATAAGTTGCACTAGGAGGCATTAAAATAAGAGGGACGTACACAAAATTCTACTGTAATCTAGGCTAGCAAGTTGACAAAACTAGAATTCAACCCATACCCACCCAAAGTATCAGTCAATATTCCAAGGACATTAGCAAGTTGCAGACAGAACGAATGAAGATACCATTACTGTAACCGTCACTGAGAAGGAGAAGATTCTGCAGGAAGAAACTTAAGAGAAATACTGTTATATATAAAACAAGGTAAGGAAGAACAAGGTTCGGCTTCAGCAAGATTTATGTAGAACAAAAATGGATTTGATTCAAGCAAATATGTTAAAAACATCAAAATCTTACAATGGCCAATTTAGCCCAAACTCCACAAGATTCCACATTTTTCATTTCTTTTTCTCTTACTTCCTCTGCAATGAAACAGTGCTTCTTATCATGTTGTACAATTATGGGATAGAAACTACACTCTAAAAAAAAGGTTCATTTACTTCCTCTGCAATAAAAGTGTAATATGTGGATATTTTTGGTAGTTACCAACACATTTGATGCTTCATTCTTCTTTAACTTTTATTTAAAAATAAATGGTCTAGACTCTTGCCTATTTCCTAATGTCTTGTGCTGGTGGTGAAGATCCAATTAATCCTTACTGAGATTCTGAATTATTGAATTACCAAATAGCAGCTTTTCCAGTCAAATACATAGGTGTTCCTCTTATTTCTGGCAGACTTAGAGAGCATGAATGTATTGAGTTGGTTAATAAAATCACAGCCATAATTCAATCTTGGAATAACAATTCTCTAGTTGATAGATTTACAATTCTCAGCTAATCAAGAATAAAGTAGGCAATGGAAAGAATACTCACTTTTGGTATGACAACTGGAGCCAACTGGGTCCTCTGCGTCACAGGTATAGGTCTGTTGTAACCGATTCTTCTCTAGTTGATAGATTTGCAAAGGTTGAACAATTCATGACTGGTACATCTTGGTCTTTCCCAAATTTTATCCTTGTGAATTCTCTCAGCTCATTTGGTCATTTTTACAAACACTTTGTGGATCTTACTGCTCCCCAATGAATTGGAACTCAGTTGTCAATTGAACCTCTCTTTTCACTGGAAATCGAAGGCAACACACTTCACATCCAAGCTTGCATTCAGAGCGCCTGTCTATCATTTTTGGCTCTTCTCAGAGAAACCATCCACACACAATCAAAGGTCCTTCATCAAATTTGAAGTGTTGTTGAACAGAAGCTTCTATCAATGCAATTGAGAGACGCTGCAATCACAACAGAAGGTTAATTCAGTACTGGGAGCTCCCAGTTTCTTTCCTCCGACCACCACCACGGCCACCGGACTGGTATAACTGTTACCCAACAGTTCGTTTGGTTCTCCAGCGGTTACATTTAGTAGCCACCGTAATGGGCCATTTAATATGGTTATATTTTGGACGAATTTATATTAATTATATCATGTTTTGGGCCATTAAAATGTAGGCTCAATGGGCTTGTTTTTTGTTGTTTTGTTTGCTGAGCCTTATTCACAGACCATTACTGTAAAAAAGTTCCAAAGTTTTCTCTTTCGATGGTGGGCCAAATTAAAAACACGGTTTCTAACCTTTATTGTTCCGCCTCAAGGACATTCGGAATTTCACTCTTCTTTATACATTTCTTCATCTTTTGATTATCTGCAAGGGAGGAGTTGATTATCTTTTGATTATCTTTTGGTTTATAGATATATATATATGTGTGTGGATGCGGTGCACAATCCTTTTTTTTTTTCTTTTTCTTTTTTTTGTGTCCTGGTTCAAAAATCAAAACTAAAGTTCTTCAGTGACCCATCAAGGCACTGAACTTTCATGCCACTGAATTCAAAAAGGTAACAAATCAAACTTGCGGACATTGCATTTTGAATTTTTGCCCTCGTTGCATGAAAATCTAATGCAATCACCGTTCATAGTAACAAAACTCAAAATATATATATATATATATGTGTGTGTGTGTGTGTGTGTGGGTGTGTGTGTGTGTGTGTGTGTGTGAAGAGTAAAAAAGGTGGAAGAAGATGGAGAAGAAGTAAATAAAGTTTGAAAAAAGAGGCACAATTTAGACAGCAAAAAAGTCAAGGGTTTATGGCCTTCGTTGAAAAAAGGAACATGCATTTGCTTTAGTTAAAGCACAAAAGAAAAATAAAGTTAAAAGTTATAGGAAATTCATAGTGTACTGACACGGAAAGTAATACTTTCCCATTCATATGTATAATAAAAATTTTGCATTTTTAGTGCTTTTAATTTTAATAAAAATTCTACATTCTTATAATTTTTTTGTGTATGTAAAATTTTATATATAAAGGCCTCACTTTTGAAAGTTCCTCTAACAACTCTCAAATTTTTTAGAATTTATTGCCTAACAAATTTATAATTATAAATTTTTAATGAACTAGACTTAAATTTGTGAGGAAGATGTTGGAATTGAGTTGAGTATGGTGACGTCTGATTAATCCATCTTTCCTAATAACTACGTAGTAATTCGTTACCACTATGTAACAATTATGATTTATGACCGAACCTGTTTTTTAATATTTTGAGATTGGCTTAAAATTTTGTCATTATAAGTATTTAGGACTTTTTCTTTTTCTTTTTTCAAGTAACCTAAAGACTGGGAAATGATGAATTACGGAATATATCATTTTGAGAATTTGTACACATATATATAGATATTTTTTAAGTAACTTAATATCGCAATTAAAATTCAATTGAGAAGATTCAATTGAAATTGAGTTCATATAATTTTTAAGGCATGCTAGGAAATAAAAATACTGAACACTTCCCACCACCGACATTTTCCACAACCTCTATTACAATGTAAACTACCAACAACTTAAAAAGTCCCAAGGCCTTCTAGGTTGTGAATTTCGTAAACATAATTCCCTGCCACACACACAGGAAAAAACAAATAAAACAAAAAAAAAAAAACCCTTATGGCAAAATAAAAATTTTATAATTTTAATTAAAAATATTATATAAAAATTATCAAAATAAATTCACTTTTTCAAATAATTGATTAGAAATTTTTTTTGAATATTTAAAATTTTAAATATTGTTTTGAGTAATTAAGATTTTCTCCATGTCTCTAAAGTCTTATTGCAAAGCATATAAGATTTTCTTTAGGAGATCCTACTTTACTCTTTTGATAATAAGGCTAGAGGGAATTGAAGGTGAACTTTTTGAACCCCTTCCTCCTAACATAGAAGAGTCTTTTAAACACTTTGGGAAGTGGCTCACTTTAAGACTTTTTGGCAGCTGCTTTTGCTTTATAGTTTTGTTTACATCCAAAGCAGAAACAACGTCACTACTTTGAAGTGCGTTAAGTACCATTCGAAAGCATCTTTGGAAACTGTGAGATATAAATTTTATAATTGCAAGTTTTGATGTCAAAACCCCAATCAAGTTGTAATTTTCTATTTACTTTCGAGTCTCGATGTTGGAAGCAGAACAACAAGTGCACGCACACTTCGATTCAATGAGAATGTCATTTAGAATAGGTATGTTGGTGATGAACACTTGTGAGTATGTTTAAAGTTGGGCAGGAGAGCAGGGGGTGGAAATAATACTTAACAAAGTCCAGACGATTGCACTTTATACTTAAACTAATTACATTTTCTGCATGTCTAAACACTTTCTCTCTCTTGAAACATACATGCACCCCCACTCTCCCCTCTAATATATTTAGTGGATACACGTCGTCTTTTTTCTCGAAACATCTTTTTCTCTTAAGTCCAACCGGTTGCAATTTTTTAAATGTGTGACAAATTATATTTTGGTAATTTTTTTATTTCTTATTTTTACCCAAACTTCTAAGGCTATCCTTGCACAATTTTAAAACCTCTTTTTACCTATATAAGCCTATATAAACTCTCCTTCCATCTTAATTAATTATGGTTTTTAAAAAAATTATTTTGCTATTGAGAGCTTTCTAAGAGTATTTTTGACCTATATTCTTTATTCTTTTCAATTTACATGGGGTGGATTACAAAACTGGTTTTGTTTCATTTCTTAAGTTTCTTAAATTACAACCTAGTCATACTTTTACACCTTAAAGACAACTTAGTCATATTAAATATCATTAAGACAAAAAAAAGTCGTAATTTTAAAATTTATCTCTTGAGAAAATTAGAACCTAGTTATTTGCAATAAATGTAGTTACATTGATTATCTAATTCGATTTTAGACACGCATCACTAACAAATTCGATTTTGGACACCCACAAGTCCAATAACTCACGTGTAACAAAAACAATCTTTATTTTTTCCAAAAACAAACAACTTCTTAGTTGTTATGCAGCCGAATTTGAGCCACAAACCCCGGTTTTGCTAAATATTTAATTAGGGCAGAAGTTTAAAAATGCAAGTCCTTGAAAGAACAAAAAAAAAAAAAAATCACAAATTTTAGATCTAGGTTACTCGAATGTGCCTAAAAGCAATTTCTAAAGTTTTCTTACCTGAATGGATTTTAAATTCTTCAAATAAAATTTGGTTAAAAGTCATAATATATACCTTAAAGACACACAAACCCTAAAATTCACAAAAGTTTAGGTCCAACTCTCTTAAGAAAAAATATTTGAAGATGTTTTAAAATTTACGAACTTAGATGACTTAAAATTGTTCAAAAATCACAAAATTATTATGTTTAAATGAAATAAATCCTAGATTTCATAAATTTTAGGTCAAGACCAAAGTAGTCAACCAAAATAGATAAATATTTTAAAATCGGATATATTTTTATTGGATAAATTTAAAGTCATGTAGTTTACCACGAAGGAGGTAGAGGCTTTCAGCTCAACAATTCAATAAACAGGTTTGAAATTTGTTGAAGGGACTTTCTTTTTGTTTTGGAATGGTTTGGTGATGCAGGTTTCCACGTGTGTAGTATAAAAAATGTTAAACTTTTAGTAACGAATGAAAAAATGTAGATGGGAATCGATTGTGTTAAAAAAGTAAGTGGAGGTAATTATTGGCTTGTCTCTTTCCATGGTGGGGGCAAATGAAAAACACGGTTCCAACCTTTATTGACTTTTATTTACGCGTTTTGAACCTTTTGTGAACCCCTTCCTTTGTCTAAGTTGAGAATAATAATCTTTTGAACCCTTGAATAAAAGGTTGAATGTAGTAGTAATTATATATATATATTGATGTGCTTTTTATCAGGCAGTTCATCGATGACAATGGACGATGAGCAAGTTATTGGATTGAACGGTGTAGGTGGTGGTAGTATTACGGATTCGGCAACTCACACCCCCACCACAAATCAACCCATCATTACAGACATCATCAAATCTGCCCTTCTACACTTCGATCAAAGTTATTTTGATGATCAAGTTCTAATACAGTTTTGGGCACCCATCACAACAGAAACAGGGTGTGTCCAGCTTGTTACTTCAGACCAACCTTTTGCTCTTTCTTATGATCTTGCTGAAGGACTTCTTAATTATAGGAAGCAGTGTTTGCAATACAGATTTAATGTGGATGGGGATGGGGAAGAAGTAGAAGGCCTTGGAATCCCTGGCCGTGTTTTCCGCCAAAAATGGCACGAGTGGTTTTGCTCTAGCAGATGTGCGACATTACTCTACCAAAGAGTACCCCCAGCGTGATTTGCTCTAGCTTGCCATATTTCGAAATCTTTGTGTATTCCGTTGTTTCAAACCTCTTTCCAGGAATGCGTTGGAGTACTTGAGTTTGCTGCAACTAACTTTATCAGTTTCTACTCGACGTGTAATTCGTTTATCAAGGTTTGGTGATTGGATATGAATGCCATCATATTTGGAGATGATAGATATGATTTTACCTTTCATTAATTTAAACCTTACCAAAATTATTCACTTTTTCTCTCTCTTGCAGCTTGCGGGTCTGAAAACTTCTTGGTGTGATGGATATGATTCGATTGCTAAGGTAAGTTAGAGCTGTAATATCCAAATGTGAGATTTGGTACTTTTATATGTTTTCACTACTCTCCTCTCATCCACAAATGTCTATACCAGGCTTTCCTTGGATATAAGGGTCTAAATATATTGAATGAAATCAAAGAAGGGTTGGAAGTGGTGTGCAAAACTCACGACTTACCTTTGGCTAAGACATGGATTCCGTGCGTGCATTTCAATGGCAATTTGGATAATAGCTATGATACGTTTGATGTAAGCTGTATGGGACCAGCCTTTCACTTTGACAGTCGACCATCTTATTTTCTAGAAAAAAAGGTGGGGGAAGTTGTCTATAACTGGATTGATTTTCAAAGGGGGCATGGAGTTGTTGGGAGAGCATATCAGTCACATAAACTATGTTTCTGCAAAGATATAACTCAATTCAGCGTAACTGAATGCCCCTCCCTGCCCCTTACACGCGCTTTTGGCGTTATAGGTTGTTTCGCGATTTACTTGCAAAGTACTCGTGCCAAAAAATGTGCAAGAAACACCCTCACTAAAAATTAAGTGCATATAAATCCTTGTATTATCAACCTTTTGAGCAAATTACTTCCTAATCATCAATTTTGACCAATTTTTTAATAAAAACCCTAAAACGCCCTTGCTAATGTAAGAAAATAAAAAAGGAAAGAAAATCTCTCTTTTCCTTTCTCTCTCTAAATTGTCTCTAAGCTCTCTTTCTCTCTCTAGTCTCTACAACATAGAAGATCACCATATATTTTCTTTGCGTCTATTTTGACTTCAGTAGCAACTAATTAACTTTGGTATAAAAATCACTACTTTAATAAATAAATGAAACTATATATTATTGCTGAAAAATTACTATTTTGATAAATAAATAAAAAATTATACATAAAACTAACACCACAAAATATTTATTTGGTGAAGACATAGAGAGGACGAATAATAAACGTGTTTATTTTGTGAAACTTGAAATATAGAGATTATTGATATTATCTGAAGATGAGTATTTTCAATACGTTTGTTTTGGTCGATGATATGGAGCCTGAGATGCACAAGTTCAATTGTCCCTCTTGGTTGTTCATCCGTGGCTGTGATTGGATGCTATCTTGATTGAACCACAATATCATTTTGATTCTTCATAGGCTTATGGCAACATTTACATTCCAAAAATAAAAAAGAAATTTAAATTATATGAACATTGTTATGTATATCCTTGCAACCACCTACTCTTAAGATTTTGCTTCTAAAACTAGAGTTATTATAGGTTGATTGTATCTCTTTTAAAGATTTTGCTTCTCATACATATATATATATATATATATATATATATATATATATATATATATATATATATATATATATATATATATGACAAGATCAAATAAATATATGGAAGTTGCTGAAAAAGAAAAGATAGAGAAAAACAAATAAGGAAGTCGCTAGAAAGAGAATCCTACAGAAAGTGAAAACAAAGAGAGAAATAGAGGGGAGAGAGACCTTCCAAAAAAAGAAAAAATAAATTAGAGGAGAGAGGGGATACTTTTATTTTTTATTATTATATTATATTATATATATTTATTTTATTATATGGGTATTTTAGACATTTCAATAACTAAATTAACCTAATGTCCTTATTTGCACAAATTGTAAAATGCAGGGGGGTTTTATGAACAACAGGGGATGAATTGCGCATTTTGTATATTATGAAGGGATTTTTTGCACTTAACCATTTATTATTTAGTTTTATTTATACTATTTTATTTATTCTTAGTTGCTTTTGTAATTAAATGCTTGTTTATATACTTAATTGTTTGGTATACCTCGGATCTGTGCTCAGACTTGATCTCCGTGGTTCTAGAATCGAGAGGTATCACAGTGTGTGAATGTAATACATGTATATGTGTATATATGGGAATAACCATTATTGGTCCATAATTTTTTATATTTTTTTTACCTTCTTTACTATTATTATTATTTTTTTACCTTCTTTACTTTCTTAACTATGCTTTTTTCCTTTCTATTTGTTTTTTCCGGAGGTCCTCTAAAATAAAATAATTTATTCCATACTAATAATTTTATTTTTGGCACTCGAAAGGGATATTTATTTAACAAAGTTTACTTTTTTCAGTTTTGTCAAAAGAGGTAACTTTTTTTCTTTTATGGGTCCCGTCAAAAGAAATAATTTATTCCATAAAAATAACTTTTTTTTTTTGGGGTCTTATCATAAAAGATAATTTTTTCAATAGAGATAATTTTTTTTTTTAATCCTCTTCTTTTCATACTTTTTTTTGGATCTTGATAAAAGAGATAATTTCTTCAATAAATATATTTTTTTTGGTGGGTTTTTTCATGTCAAAAGAGATAATTTTTTTAATGGTTATTTTTATTTTTTTGGTCCAGTCAAAAGAAGCAATTTATTCAACATAATTATTTTTTTGGTGCTGTAAAAAAAAATATTCAAGTTTTTTTTTTTTTTTGGTCTTGTCAAAAGAGACCTAAAATATTAATGATCAGAGATAAAGAGAGAAAATTTAAAAGGGTAATTGTGTTATTTAAAAAGTAATAATTATTTACTTGTAAAGTTAGAATTAAAATTGTCATTTGATTTATGATTACAGTGCAATTGTTGAAAAATGAAGTGTGGATGTTGTCTCCCTATAATTATATATTTATATATGTATATAAAATATATACACACACACAAAAAAAAAAAAAAAAAAACCAAAAAATTATGAAAAGTGGGTGAGATCTAAAATTTGAATGTATCATTAGATTTTTTTTTCTGTCAAAGTGAAATTGAGAATAACCATAATTTAATTGAAGCAAAATATATCAAAGTAGTAAACCAAAATAGATAAAGATTTGATGAAGGAACATTTTTTTTCGTTTTGGGAGGTTTGGTGAAGCAGCTTTCCACCTGTGTATACAATTAAAACGCAGGAGAATCTATATAAAAAAATGTGTAAGTTCTAGTAATGAATGAAAAGAGTAAACAATGTATTTTAATTTTAAAAGTTCACCTTTTTTTTTATTTTTTATTTATAAAGGACTCAATTGTGTTAAAAAAGTTGGTGGAGGTAATTTTGGCTTGTCTCTTGTCTCTTTCCATGGTGGGGCAAATGAAAAACACGGTTCCAACCTTTATTGACTTGTCTTTCCGCGTTTTGAACCTTTTGTCAACCCCTTCCTTCGTCTAAGTTGAGAATAATAATATTATCCGAAAAAAGTTGAGAATAATAATCTTTTTGAACCCTTCAAAAAAAAGGTTGAATGTAGTAATTATATATATTGATGTGCTTTTATCAGGTAATTCATCGATGACAATGGAAGATATGCCAGAGCCTCTCGTCAATCCTAATTTTGATGTGCTCTTATCAGGTAGTTCACCGGCCACAATGGAAGAGATGCGAGAGCCTCCTGTCAATCCTAATTTTGATGATGATGAAGAAGATCAAACATTAGATCCTAATGACTATTTTAATGATGATGACGAAGATCAAACATCCGATCCTAATGATGATGAAGAAGAAGATGAAACATCCGATCTTGATAATGATGATGAAGAAGATGAACGCAAGATCAAGAATTTCATGAAAGATTTGCCGAGTAGAGTGTCTTTCCGGCGCCCGAAGTCGAAATACCATCTGTGGTCATTTTGGAGTGAGCCGACTCTGTCTCTTTGCAGTAAGCTGCTTTTCTCTGTGTTTTTGTCACCCTTAATTTCTCACCTTTTTTTCAATTATTAGCAAAAAAATGAAATATGTATATAGTTGGCAAGGAAATTTAACTCAATAGCAGCTTAGCATAAGAATTTCAATAAAGATTTACCGTACACATACAAAGGGTTTACTTGTTACTAATATAGTCTAGCCTCTGTTCTTCTTTAGAT